GCTGCATTTACATTGGGCCCACCAGAAACCTGGACGGGTGCAGGTGTACTTTCAAAGTCATTTCTAATCCACCAGAAGCAGGAGCACCCTGAGTTGACCCTCTAACTCATCCACTCCAATGGGGAATCGGGCGGCGATCCTCTGCTACCCAATGCAGCCTCAAATGCGTCCTTAGATTGCTTCATTAACTTCCCTGATTTCAATTCCCCTTCCCAAAATTCAGTAACAATTCATCAAGAAACCAAACCAATTAACTAAACCCTAAACTCTAATCCCAGATAGAAATTAATTAAGTAACTTAAAAAAAAAAGATAACCGTAAAAAAGAAATAGGGTTCTAATTTAAAGTCTTTTTCCTCTAAATTACAAAAATAAAAGCGTAAAACTGGAATCAAATCATGATGATTCAGTAATTAGAACAGCACAGAACACTTACCTAGACGATAGAGAATCGAAGGTTTGCAGAGAGAGTTTGCGAGGGAAAGCTCCGAGGAGGAGTCTTCGGTTTGGGTTTTAAAGAGAACGAGCTCGAGCGAAAATATTCAAGATTTAGTTGTTTTGGCTAATGTTATATAGCCCCCGGTATTTTCAAGAATATCTTTACCAACCTTAACCCTCTAGAAAGTACTCAGAGTAGAGACATAACCCAGGAAGGCGAAGGGTAATCACGTCATTTCAGCTTTCTTTGGTCTCTCATTTTATTGTCTGAATAACTTTTCTCACCCAAGGTTTGCCTTAATAAATTCCCATCCAAAAAATTTTAAAATACCACTTTCACACCCAAAGTTAATATTTCATTATTATCCAAAGCCGATTTTAGTGACGAAAATTCTCTTTATCACCACCATCTAAACCTCTGGTCTTCTCTCTACAAAACCCCTCTCATTCTGGCACTTGATTTCTCACCGATTTTCGACCACCATGAAGCTAAAGTTTCTTACTCTTAGGTAATTTTCGACTGATTCCGACAACGAATATTTAATCAGTCATCACCATTCGATTCACCGACTTCCACTTTACAAAAACTCTCTTTAACCTGTCGAATGCTGGATTAAAAAATAAAATGTATTTTGAATATTAACAAAATATAAATGATAGGTGAGAAAGTAATATTTTAAAATTTTTTTAGTAGGAAAGTGTCATTAAGACAAACGTAGGTGGGAAAAAAGCGTTTACTCATAATTTTGGTAAAATGATAATTTCAACTCAATATTATAGAAACCGTTAATTTCATCCACCATAAGGAATCAAAAAGTATCAAATGTCCCCATTGATTTTTGAAAACTATTAAATACTCTATAAAGATTATCGAACACACAAAAGTATCCAAAATGGCCCTCACAAGGAGTATTGAATAAGTCTATCCTTACAAAAAAACCTACAAAGAAGCTTACAAAGTGAAGAAAAGACGGAAAAAGAAAAAGAGAGAAATGATGAAGATAAAAGGTAAAAGTTGTCTTTGTATACTTCTTTTGTAAGCTTTTTTATAAAACTAGCACGGCTGAAGGAGTATTTTATAGTTTTTAAAAACCATTCAGAAGGTTGAAACTTACCAAGAATATAAACCCTATCATTAATGATATTACACACATGAAACCGAAAGATTGATTCAGCCAAGAAATTTCATATCCACCTTCCTTACCATTAGTTTCAACAAACAAAATTCAACATAAAGATGTAACGGATTGAATTTATTTAAAAGATTTTTCTCGACAACCCCTCAATATCGACCTAATAACATTATGGCAATAACTCAACCCTTAGGTATCAAAGATTCTTGGGCAAAATTTGTGTCACATTATACAAAACATAAAGCCATAAGGTGAACTTTGAGCAAAAATAGCACTGATATAAAATGTTTATACACATAATTGCTTTTCTTCTCAAAGACATTTTTTTTTTCATAGCAGTAAGAAAGAATCCCTGTCAAGTACTGCTACAAAGAATTTTCCTCCTCTATCTCTTTCCTTTTTTTTTTTTTTCTTCTTCTTCTTCTTCTTAAGGTAGATACTATCCCATTGTGTAAACCAGATGAACAAAGTGCACATCCCATAAAAATGACCAGCACATCTCTATGATCTTCCAGCTTCAGCTGTATCACTATCGGCATCTTCTGTTTCTCCGCCTAACTTCACGATATCTTTGACAAGTATTTTCCCTTCTGTTGCAAGAAAATAGAAATGTAAACAATCGTACCATATATACAAGATCTTTGAATTCACCACATCACCATCTTCAACTCACAAAATAAGAGGGGAAAATAATTTCAGGTACCGGTGTTCAAGTCAAACAATTAGCCCAACAGCAAGGGGTAACATAGAAAGGAGGGAAACAAGGGGGGGAACAAGGAAACAAATAGGAAGCATACCCTTCTCATGTTAGCCTTCTGAAGTGCAGATCTCCGAAAGGATTATACCGATTCATCGCTCCTCTGTAATTGTGATAGAATAGCCTGGAAAAACAACAGTGATATCAAAAGGTTTTTTTTTTTTTTTTTTAACAAATCAATCATGTTAGTTGGATATATGAAAGTAAGAAGTCAGTAAGCTTTTGACGGAGAAAAGACAATCCACTGTTTTTCAAAGACACTTAAGGAATTCCAAACAATTTTCTTGCAGTCAACAAATCAAGTCCATTTCATTTATGATGCGATTCTAAAATCCTACTCTAAATGCACCATTTAGTGTCACGCCACCTTTCTCTTGTGAGATAGCTCCAAGCATCAAGGATCTAAAACTGTGATAAACTAATGTGAAGCACACGTATGATATATATACCACACTTTGACTTCACCACATACAGCTAGAGTAAAAACAAGCCTCTCCAAGCCCCAGCTTTCTATCACTTGAATCCTTGAAATAGTGGAATATAGTGGTAAAAGATGATTTCGGAATAAAACTAAAATGCAATAGCCAAGCTCCAAAAGTTGAATGGAGCAAAAGGAAACTTGAGAGAATGTTACAAGCATTAAACCATTGACAGAGCCACATAGTACTAAGGCACTTGTTTGGTGAGGATATAGATACTGCCTTTGTGAATACACCATAAAAGATGCATTGACATACAAAGAAGAGAATATCACAGATGTTTATGACACTAATACGTGAAACATAGTTACTAAATTCATTTTACAATAAACACTGAGGATGCCTTGAGGAAAGACACTTGTGAAAGAAAGACCAAAAAAAAGTTTACCAACTTAAGTGAAAACAAACTCCTCATAAAGATGAAACCAGGAGGACTCACAAATTGGTCATGCTCACATAAGCATACACCATTGGCAATATCTAAGTCTTTATAAAACCAGCATGAAACTTATGAAAGTACAACCTTTAATATTGCCAGTAAAAGGTAATATGAAATTCAGAAACAAAAAGTGCATCTAAAGTCACCATAGGGCCAACCACAGACAGAAGACCACAAAAGAAGCAAAGAAAAAATGAAAGGTTAAAATCACTGCATCTTGGCCATTTTAGAAGGGTCGGCACTAGACGGGAACTTAGCGAGTTCAACATCCACATTCTCCTCTTTCTTCCTCCTCATCATCTTGTGCTTGGTGACAGCTGCATTTACATTGGCCCCACCAGAAACCTGGCAGGGTGCAGGTGTACTTTCAAAGTCATCTTCTAATCCACCAGAAGCAGGAGCACCCTGAGTTTGACCCTCTAACTCATCACTCAATTTATGATTAATTTTGTTTTTTTAAACAAAACCTTAGTATTTGAAATTTAGAATTAGTGAGGCGATTATACAAGGTAATTATCTCTAATATTTTAACAATTATTAATACTTTACCACTAATTTATTATTATATTTTGTAAGTAAAAAATTTTAAATACACCTAAGTTTTTCGAAAATTATTAAATATACCCTATAATTATTGAAATCTCCACTAAAACCCCCAAATAGGCAAATAGTGAGTTCTCGTAAGAGTTATATAAAACAGTGCTTTAAAACCCAACATGGCTTGACCGGTTCAATTGGGACCCAAAAGCCTTCACCGGACTGAGTTGCCACTTTCTCTATTCACTAAAAACTCTAGAATTTGGGGTGATGATCAATGAACAATTGAAGGTCAGAATGTTAGGACTTTTGAAGAGGAAGTGGCGATGAGTGCAATGGTGACGACGAAAGTGATTTTTGGTGAGTGAATTGACCGAAAATTGAAAAAAACCAACGATGACAACAACTAGCTTTTGTTGGCGATTGGTGAGGTGAACGAGCGTTTTGGCCAGGAGGTTGAAAGGAGTATTTTTGTGGTTTTTTTTTTTTTTTTTTTTTTTGAGGGGGGTGGGGATTAGGGTTGTCAACGCCGACGGTGGTGAGTTTTGACCTAGGTTATCGATGCTAGTGGTGGAGAGATCTAAACAAAATCGAACTGATTTCAACCAAATCTTGGGTAGATTTTTTGGAGAATGAGTTCAAGGGATAATTTAGATTGCATTTGGTGTGCCGTCCGCCAACCAATCGACCCCTAGTTTGTATTTGGGGTGTGTTTGCTAAATTTTTAAACCTATAGAGACTTAACATAATTCTTAAGGATGTATTTGCTAAATTTTAAACTTTTTGAAACCCAATTTGACCGGCCGATCAACCCAAGACCTAACAACTTTGTCGGTTTCACCCTGGGTTGGCTATTAAAACATTAATATAAAATAGACCCTTAAGATTTTGACAATATATTTTAAAAGAAAAAAATTATTCAAAATTCAAATGAAATCATCCCTTCACTTAAAAAAGAGGTGCAAAAATATTGCAATGGGAACCAGATGAACGTAAAAATCTTGAGTGTGATAAGAAAATTATGAACACGTCCGTCTGGTCGGTGCACACCAAGTCTAAAAATGTGACATGCATCTACAACCTGATTAAACGAACGTACATACATTTATCCTACTAAAAACTTACTCCACTCCAGTCAATGAATATAGTACATTGTGACAATTCAAGTATACTAATCAAAACAAAAAATTATTACTATAATATCAACAAAAAAGGAAAAAGGAAAAAGAAAGTATCAATCTGCTTCCACATTCAAAGAGATTGTTTATTTCAATCCTCAAAACTTCATTAATTGGCTGTTGGCTTCCAAGTTAAACTACCTCATATACGATAGGCATCAACATGTAGTTAACAATGAGAGCCTGAGTAGAAAATCAGCACAACTTTGCATTTTGGTCCATCTACCGGAAGAGCCTTTGAACTGATCTCCTTGGTACTTTGCCTTCAAGCTTTAATCTTCTATAAGCTTCTCTGATGTGGCACGGCCTGATTGGTCCGGATTCCTTCCTCTCTGCCATGACCATTCTAGCTGCAAAAACAAAAAAGTGGGCAAACACACAAGACCAGCTAATCAAACTTCTATAAACAAACGTTTATGTGGACTCAAACATGCACCAAGTTATAGCTTTCAGGAAAACATCAGACTGAAGTGGTCACAAGAGTTTTTGCCGCAATATATGCATTTCTTACCCATTTCTCAAGTCGTAAAAATACGGGTTTACTTGAACTTTTTGTTTTGGAAATGAAATTAGCATAAAGATTGACATGTGTAAAGTTGTAAGCATACCTGTTTCAACAAGTTCACCAACAAACATTTTTGCTATGCCACACACTACAATTGTCATTGGTAACGAAATTTTCTGGCTTCCGGTGATGCTCACTAACAACTGCATTCATACAAGTAAACTTGACATAATATATGGAAAACTCAATACATAAGTGAATCAAAATCTACAAGCATTAAACGCAAGAACAATGCACTCAAGAAGGCTTCATGGAAAGAAATAGGCAAGCCAAGTGAATATAATACCAGCCTAAAGGAATCTTTCACCAACTTACTCCAAACAGGTTGACAGAGTGACAATCAGCCAAACAAACACCTTCCCTGTAGCCTAAGGACCCAATAAAAATTAAAAATTTGTGGTACATCATTTTCACTTCTCTAAAGCATAAAACAAACAGATCGTGCTGAACCTAGCTACATGCAAACAAAGTATAGAAGATAATGCAACAAAGCTCCTAACAGTCCATCTTAGATGAGACAATGTGGGGAACAAAAGTTTTGCAAAGAAAAGAGAATGGAGAAACAAAAACATTTCTAGTCATTATCTTCAAATCAACAAGCACCAACTGCGAGAATATAGAAAGGAGGAAAAAGAAGGATGGTCACAAATCACCATCTTCAACTCACAAAATAAGAGGGGAAAATAATTTCAGGTACCGTTGTTCAAGTCAAACAATTAGCCCCAACAGCAAGGGGTAACATAGAAAGGAGGGAAACAAGGGGCGGAACAAGGAAACAAATCAGGAAGCATACCCTTCTCATGTTAGCCTTCTGAAGTGCAGATCTCCGAAAGGATTCATACCGATTCATCTGCTCCTCTGTAAATTGTGATAGAATAGCCCTGGAAAAACAACAGTGATATCAAAAGGATTTTTTTTTTTTTTTTTTTTTTTAACAAATCAATCATGTTAGTCGGATATATGAAAGTAAGAAGTCAGTAAGCTTTTGACGGAGAAAAGACAATCCACTGTTTTTCAAACGACACTTAAGGAATTCCAAACAATTTTTCTTGCAGTCAACAAATCAAGTCCATTTCATATTATGATGCGATTCTAAAATCCTCACTCTAAATTGCACCATTTAGTGTCCACGCCACCTTTCTCTTGTGAGATAGCTCCAAGCATCAAGGACTCTAAAACTGTGATAAACTAATTGGAAGCATCACTTGTATGATGAATATATAGCCACACTTCTGACTTCACCACATACAGCCTAGAGTAAAAACAAGTCCCTTCCTACCAAGCCCCAGCTTTCTATCACTTGAATCCTTGAAATAGTGGAATATTAGTGGTAAAAGATGATTTCGGATATAAAACTAAAATGCAATAGCCAAGCTCCAAAAGTTGAATGGAGCAAAAGGAAACTTGAGAGAATGTTACAAGCATTAAACCATTGACAGAGCCACATAGTACTAAGGCACTTTGTTTGGTGAGGATATAGATACTGCCTTTTGTGAATACACCATAAAAGATGACATTGACATACCAAAGAAGAGAATATCACAGATGTATTATGACACTAATACGTGAACCATAGTTACTAAATTCATTTTACATATAAACACTGAGTGATGCCTTGAGGAAAGACACTTGTGAAATGAAAGACCAAAAAAAAGTTTACCAACTTAAGTGAAAACAAACTCCTCATAAAGATGAAACCAGGAGGACTCACAAATTGGTCATGCTTCACATAAGCATACACCATTTGGCATAATCTAAGTCTTTATAAAACCAGCATGAAACTTATGAAAGTACAACCTTTAATATTGCCAGTAAAAGTGTAATATGAAATTCAGAAACAAAAATAGTGCATCTAAAGTCACCATAGGGCCAACCACAGACAGAAGACCACAAAAGAAGCAAAGAAAAAAAGAAAAGGTTAAACTCACTGCATCTTGGCCATTTTAGAAGGGTCGGCACTAGACGGGAACTTAGCGAGTTCAACATCCACATTCTCCTCCTCTTCTTCCTCCTCATCATCTTTATTCTTGGTGACAGCTGCATTTACATTGGCCCCACCAGAAACAGGCACGGGTGCAGGTGTACTTTCAAAGTCATCTTCTAATCCACCAGAAGCAGGAGCACCCTGAGTTTGACCCTCTAACTCATCCACTCCAATGGGGGAATCGGGCGGCGATTCCTCCTGCTCCTCCAATGCAGCCTCAAATGCGTCCTTAGATTGCTTCATTAACTTCCCTGATTTCAATTCCCCTTCCCAAAATTCAGTAACAATTCATCAAGAAACCAAACCAATTAACTAAACCCTAAACTCTAATCCCAGATAGAAATTAATTAAGTAACTTAAAAAAAAAAGATAACCGTAAAAAAGAAATAGGGTTCTAATTTAAAGTCTTTTTCCTCTAAATTACAAAAATAAAAGCGTAAAACTGGAATCAAATCATGATGATTCAGTAATTAGAACAGCACAGAACACTTACCTAGACGATAGAGAATCGAAGGTTTGCAGAGAGAGTTTGCGAGGGAAAGCTCCGAGGAGTCTTCGGTTTGGGTTTTAAAGAGAACGAGCTCGAGCGAAAATATTCAAGATTTAGTTGTTTTGGCTAATGTTATGTAGCCCCCGGTATTTTCAAGAATATCTTTACCAACCTTAATCCTCTAGAGAGTACTCAGAGTGGAGACATAACCCAGGAAGGCGAAGGGTAATCACGTCATTTCAGCTTTCTTTGGTCTCTCATTTATTGTCTGAATAACTTTTCCCACCCAAGGTTTGCCTTAATGACACTTTCCCGCCCAAAAAATTTTAAAATACCACTTTCACACCCAAAGTAAATATTTCATTACTACCCAAAGCCAATTTTAGTGGGAAAAATTCTCTTCGTCACTAGCATCTAAACCTCTGGTCTTCTCTCTACAAAACCCTTCTCACTCTGACACTTGATTTCTCACCGATTTTTTACTACCATAAAACTAAAGTTTCTTGCTCTTAGGTAATTTTCGACTGATTCTGATGACGAATATTTAATCAGTCATCACCATTCGATTCACCGACTTCCACTTTACAAAAACTCTCTTTAACCCACCGAATGCTAGATTAAAAAATAAAGTAGAGATGGCAATGGGCCCAACATTTTCGGGTACCCGGCCCGGCCCGGCCCGAAAGGGACGGGCTTTACCCGAGGTTGGCGGGCTTGGGCTTGGGCCTGGGCTTGATTTTAAGGCCCGACCTCGGGTACGGGCCGGGCATGGGTATATCTTTAGGCCCGGCCAGGCCCAAAATTTTAGTATTAATTTTACTAATTTACCCTTATACTATATATTTAATTACAATATTATCCTACACACACACACACACACACACACACACACACACAATATTATATATATATATATTAATATCCTTTTTCCCAAACCCTAACCTCAATTTCATTCCATATTGAAGGTTTAACATGTTAAAATTGCCTTAAATGAGTTAGATGGGTTTGGTTCAACTTATAAAATGAATTTTACCATAACATATTATGTACAGTTGAAAGTTAGTATAATCAAATATATGGAGTTTTAATTGCTCACTTATTGCTTAAATTATTTGCGGAAATAGCTTCAATTAATATTTAAAAACTATTTCTAAAATTAAAAATATAAAAAAAAATTGAAATTTATTAATATTTAAAAATAAATATTATTAAAAGGCGGGCTTGGGCCGGGCCTACGGTTATAAAAAACCCGTCGGGCCGGGCTTGGGCTTTGCCTATCATACCCGTAGCGGGCGTGGCCTGTGTATGAGGTCGGGCTGGGCCTGGGCCAAGGGGTACCCGGTCCCGGCCGGCCCATTGCCATCACTATGCAAGTAATTAGTTTCTTAGTTTTAATCAATCATTTTGCCAATTTTCTCTTTCGGTAACTCAAATATACATTGGTCGTTAGTCTTGCTCTCTGTGGATTCGCCCTGCTTACCGCTAAAACGGTACTAGGTTTAATTTTGTGACCGTGACGACCGGTCCAACAAAATTTTGGGCCGTTGCCGAGGAGCAACGTGCTTTTGACTTTGTGTGTATTTGGGTTTGTAAATACTTTAAGTTTAATTTTTCTATGTTATTTAATTTTATTAGGACAGTTTCATTCGTGTTTGTTTTATTTTGCAGGAAGATTGCAATTGGGGAAACGTTGCGAGTGTTCATATGCCTCAAAGTTTAAGCGTGACCCGATGTGATATTTTCTAATCTTTTTAGCTTTAGTCTTTTAGTTCTTGTTAATCGTTTTGGTGATGTTTGCATGTTTCGTGTTCATTTAGTTTGCATGTTTGTATTAGTTTGCATATTTTGTTTTTATTCATAGGATTTAGTTTTTGATTTAGTAATAATTTCTTTTTGTTTGACTGTTATTTTAATTGTTGATTGTGTGGTTACTTTTTTTAGGGTGTTTTCATATTTAGCTTTATTTTTCTTTATGTGTGGTTTTTGAATTTGTTTTTTGTTTCTTTTCTTTTTCTTTTTCGTTTAATTTGATGTTGTGGTTGTTGGTGGAACCTTTGGTACACTTGTGATGAATGCTTGGTAGATAGTCATATCAACCAATTTTTGTACCTTGGATTGAAAATAGAAAGCACGTAGGAGGATGATATCTGTATCCCATGCACAACCATCTAGCTTCTAAGATCTATCATAGGGCAGCCGCCTAGGAATGGTGGCATTTATGAGGTTTCTCCTTTGGACGATATAGACTCCAAGTTGGAGGCTAGTCACTATCAATTTGAACGTTATATTATACACGGGCAAGCTTCTAAGCAACCACCTCCGATAGGACAAGTCAGGATGTCTTTTCTATGCCTTCAGACCTTTTAGCTGTTGGATACGCATTTGAGGAACCAGCTCCTTCACTTTTGAGGAGCAAGTGCAAGATGCACAAGGTTTCCAGAGACGGAATGATCCGTATTCAAAAAACATTTGATAGTGAGGGGCATAACCATCTAATATTGCATGGAAGCAGGAACAACTCAGAATGTCTCCCATAATATGCCATATAGTTCTTCCAATAAACGGGCAATTATTGGGACATGTATTCAGTCCAACCAACCGCCCACAACCTGGATCCCACCTCCCGTCCAACAGCCACTCTCGAGCCCACCACTGGAATCAATGGGCTCAAATGCTCAAACCATGCAAGAACAGAAAGATGACATGAATGCTAGGTTCAATGACTTAGAGCAGCATTATCAAATATTCACTTTCATTCCCAATCTATTAGTAAGCTAGGACCCAAATAGGTCAAATAGCTGAAGCAGTTTATAAGAGAGAGGAATGCCATTTGCCGAGTCAAGTTGTTGATAATCCCAATGGTGCAACTCACCAGATTGGGTGTCCTGAACAAGCTAGGCTTGAGAGGGAATTATATGCTGAGTTTGGAGAGAAAGAGAACTTAGAGGGAAACCAAGCCGAAAGGAGTGAAAGAGAACCAACATAGAGTAGGTATGCCGAGACATGAAAACGAGGAAGTTGGGGAGAAAGAACTATCCCTTGCATCTGACATGCCAATAGAACCTTGTCCTTAATTCCTAGAGTCGATAATGCATCCAACTTAAGAAAACTACTAGGATGGAGGGAAATGGTTGAGTTGTTTAGACAAGGGCTGATTGTATTCCACTTCTGATGCCATTAAGCTCATACCTGCCTATGCAAGTTCTTAAAAGACTTGTGCACATGGAAATGGCGTATTAAGTTCAAATATGCCTTCTTGGGACCTCGTGATACCCTTGTTGCTGAATGGCGAGGGTCAGTAAGGCGCCGCCAACGTTTCAACCACCTTGAACTTGATGCTTGCATTTAGTCTGGCTGAAGACTTTAAACTTAGCGCTTGTGGGAGGCAACCACCCCTTTTAAATATTTTTATGCTTTTATGTTTTTGTTGTTTTTGTCTTTGTAGGAATTGTCATGTTTGGAAACTCATTAACTAGTCCAAGGCTACGTTACATATGCTCCACAAACTCCGTTGGTGACAACCCCACCATTGTTCCTCAGGTTGTATCTCTCCACCTTAGCTATTATTGTTAGATTTCGTTCTCAAATATGTTGGACAATTTTATGTATTAATCATATTGCCATTGAGATCTTTTGATGCTAAGTTGGGGAGGATGTTGTAGTTGTGGGTCATTGAGGACAATGACATTTTAAGTTGGGGGTGTTGATTTAATTTTATATTTTTGTGAAGTGTTGTTGATGATGAGACTTTTGTGGAGATTGTGATATTTTGTGAAGTGTTGTGGATGATGCTTTTGTGGAGAGTGTGCTTAAATTTTTTGTGCATGATGATGTTTTTGTTGGAAATATGTTGAATCTTATTCTTGTAAGTCCAAAAGTGGTTAAAGTGAACTAAGTGAGTTATTTTTAAAATTTTTCATGAATTCATGCATAATTACCATTTTAGAAGCAATTAAAGTCAGTTGAAAGGTTTTGTGAGGTTTTTGAAAATTTTTTGTGCAACATGGTTTTAAACATTGAACTATTGGTTCTGTTTGTGCTAGGTTTGTCCATATGTGGTTAGACACTGTTTTGTGTAATGTCATGTGTTTTAGTGTCTATGCAAGTCTCCCCACATACTTACATGCCCATGGAGCAAATTTTCATTTATTATCTTGCGTGTGTTAAAAGTGCTTAAATGTTGCTTGATGATTTGGTTTTGATTTGTAGCCTAGTTGACTGAGTGAGTACGCCCGAGGGGTGTTCTACACCTAATCCCCTAAAGCTATCTAGCTTGGGAGCGGTTGGCCTAAAGCCGTTACATGGGTCCTCTAGAAAGTAAATATATTTATAAATCATGAGCTTTATAAGAAATAAAGAAATAAAGTCTTGAGTGAGCCTAGTTGGTTCGGGTGAGTAAGTTGAGGAGTATTTACACTTAGTGCCTTATAGCCATCTGGTTTGGGAGTCATTGACCTAAAGCCCGTTACACGGATCTTCTAGAAAGCTTAAGAAGGTAAGAACAAAAAAAAAAAAAAAAAAAAAAAAAAAAAAAAAAAAAGGGTGATGAATGAAAAGAAATATTATGCCAAAATCTTGTGGAAAATGAGCATTATGTTGGTGTACATAAGTTGGGGAGTTTTGCATGACATTTTAACATTGTGATAGATATGAAATGTGTGTTTGAGAAGCTTGAATGGAGATAGACAAATCTTGACAGAACTTTAGTTCTTTATTTAGGATTATGTTATTTACTTGTTATGTTCAAATTCTTCACTTTACCTTTTGATGAATGCCTTGGTTGTTGATGAATATGGGTGTGATGGTTTTGTGAGAATGTTGAAAGAGTTCTTTAACTTTACCGAGGACGAGCAAAGAGTAAGTTGGGGAATGTGTTAGAGTCATGAAAGTGACTCTATTTTGGTGATAAAAATACCACATTTGTGATTAAATTGAGGTATATTGAGACAATTAAAGAATTTATGAATTTATTCACGAAAATCGCTTCCTAATATTTTCTTATGAATTTAACGTGTTTGAATGATTTTGGATAGTATATGAGTAGATATTGGATTGTGGTTATGGATTAAGGGTGATTTTGTCATTTATGCTGTTTAGGGGGTAAAATGTCATGTTTTAAGGGGTTGATTTTGTCACTTTTCAATTATACAGGGACTAAACTGAAATTTTGTAATTTGTTCTATAAAACAAAAAGTGCAGATCGCGTGAAGGGGGAGGCTGTTCAAGTTTTCGGCGATGCTTCGTCTCCCTCGGTGACTTCGTCTTCTCTGGCGACGATCCATCTTCCCAAGCACCGATCCACCATCAGCCACGCAAGCCGCCACACAACACCGCGACGATACGACTCCCACCACCACGTCGTTTCGTCTTACGGCCAGTTTTGGCTGTTTTCGGCGACGTTCCAGCTCCCCAATGGTAGATCTTCATTCTCCACGGCCGGATCTATACTTCCCTTGCTTCAGCCGCCGCGAAAACCACCGGAATCCGTGATTACCGCCGCGACTTTCATTTCCAGGCCAGATCCTGCTCATTTCTGGCGACTTCTACTCCCAGGACCTGATCTGAAATCCCCATCACCAGAGCTTTCCATCGGTACCTTCGGATCCAATTTCCGCCACCGTTTTCCGGAGACCTGTCGGAAAATTAACGTTTTCCAGCGAACCGAACTGTTCGTATTCCGGGCTGTCCGTTGGTCGTTTTCAGCCCTTCTTCGCATATATCGCTGTCGGTTACCTCCTCTGCCATGATCAGCTCGTTTCCACCGTTTCGACCTCCGTCTACACACCATCGCGCGCTGAGTTCCCGGTTGTCCGTTACGGTGTAGGCGAGATCGAGATGACTCCACTGATTCCTCATCAGCTCTCGACTAGTTGGATGAGCCGAAAGTTGGAATTTGGTTAAGTTTCTTGTATTCAAATTATATTTGTTTTCGTTTTAGTTTGTTTGCGATACTTTAATTATTCTGATACGACGTGGTGAATTGATAATGTCCATTGAGAACGTTTATTGATATATAACTTTTCGCATAATTGAATGTCGGTTTGAGATTATTGAATGTTGATTATGACTTTAAATTGCTTCGGTACTGATTGCAATCAAGTGTAGTAGCGTTTAATGTCATCTCTACTAGGAATGCATTTATTGTGTAATTAGTTGATGGGATACAGGTTGATAGGTTGTACTTGTTAACGTTGTAACAACTAGGGGTGTTTAAGGGTTTAGCATTTTTCGGTTAGTCATGATAGTCTTTAACCAATCGATCTGTAACTAAGACGACGGGGAGACAGGGTAGATATGCCTAGATTGCCGGGAGTATTCTATGGATTGCCTAGCCTGTAGGATTAGGAAAGAAGAGCGAGGAGAGGAATTTTGACAGTTGGTCTTGAGTCAAACCGAACCCGTAGCGACAACGCTTTTAATATTGTGTTTAGTTAGCAATTTATTTAATGCTTTTAATTTCCTGCAAGTAATAGTTTCCTTAGTTTTAATCAATCATTTTGCCAATTTCTCTTCGGTAACTCAAAATACATTAGGTCGTTAGTCTTGCTCTCGTGGATTCGACCCTGCTTACCGCTAACTACGGTACTTAGGTTTAATTTTGTGACCGTGACGACCGGTCTAACAGACTCCTAGTCACAAGTGATCCATTCCTTAGGACTACGAATCCTATGAGAATACTTCCAAGGGATTCCTAGTCTTCACAAAGACAAAGTTGAACACTTGGTATAGTCCTAAAATTAAGCCTCACAGACCCTGAGTCCTACTAGGATTCCTACATCCTGAGGTCCAAAGTTCACACAAATAATTACACGAAGACAAAGTTAATAGACATAATGGTGATACATATGTTAACTAAACATACAAACTCCAATCCAAAAAATAATGTAACATAAGTAATAAAGTGTATTTTGAAATTAACAAAATAAATGTTAGGTGAGAAAGTAGTATTTTAAAACTTTTTTGGTAGGAAGGTGTCATTAAGACAAATGTGGGTGGGAAAAAAACGTTGCTCATTATTTTGTTAAATGATAATTTCAACTCATATTATAGAAACGGTTAATTTCATCCGCCCTAAGGGATCAAAAGTATAAGAATAAACTCTATCATTAATAAATTATACATATGAAACGGAAGATGATTCAGGCCAAGAAATTTCATATCCACCTTCCTTACCATTAGTTTCTACAAACAAAATTCAACATAAAGATGTAACGGATTGAATTTATTTAAAAGATTTTTCTCGACAACCCCTCAATATCGACCTAATAACATTATGGCAATAACTCAACCCTTAGGTATCAAAGATTCTTGGGCAAAATTTGTGTCACATTATACAAAACATAAAGCCATAAGGTGAACTTTGAGCAAAAATAGCATTGATATAAAATGTTTATACACATAATTGCTTTTCTTCTCAAAGACTTTTTTTCATAGCAGTAAGAAAGAATCCCTGTCAAGTACTGCTACAAAGAATTTTCCTCCTCTATCTCTTTCCTTTTTTTTTTTTTTCTTCTTCTTCTTCTTCTTAAGGTAGATACTATCCCATTGTGTAAACCAGATGAACAAAGTGCACATCCCATAAAAATGACCAGCACATCTCTATGATCTTCCAGCTTCAGCTGTATCACTATCGGCATCTTCTGTTTCTCCGCCTAACTTCACGATATCTTTGACAAGTATTTTCCCTTCTGTTGCAAGAAAATAGAAATGTAAACAATCGTACCATATATACAAGATCTTTGAATTGAACATGTTTTCAAGGAAATGCCATGGATATACTAATTACAATGTGAAAAGTTTGAAGACTTTAATATGAAGAAAAGATTAATGTGTTATTGGTAAAGGTTACAGAGAATGGTTTCGTTATCTGATATTTAACTGCCCTGGAGTTGCATCTCTAAATAATATGTGACGGTTTATAGGAGTTTGTATGTTTCTGTCCAAGGTGATCCTATTTCTAGTTCAAAAACAAAACAAAAAAAAGAGTTTGCACAATCCCAGAAGTTTAATGATTAGAATTTATAAAGTGAAGATGGATGGTAGAATAAATTTCAAGGAAATTTTGTCACTGACCTCTATCTTTGGAAAGATTGGAAATAAGTTCTTGGATGCCCTCCTTGTCCAGGGTATCTTTAAGGTACATTGCGGCCGATGCTACCTCCTCAGGAGTCACTTTCCCGTCAAAGTCTCTGACAACAAAGAACACAAACCTTATTTGGCCATGCTATTACATGAAATATACAAATGAATTGTCCTAGAGAGCTAGGGTTTCAAGATCAAAATTTAACCAATCATGTGACTTCTTATATACCAACAAATTTGATCGAAGAGATTTGGCACTAATGGTGTCTATAACAGAAACCTAAAGAATCTTCCTCAAATTTGCTCATGGTGACTGAACAAAAAAAATGTGTCAAGTTTTCTTGCAAGGAGACAATTTTAAGCTTATGGTCCCAAATTGGTGCATTCTAAAATTGAGCCTTTAAAGAAAATATAATGTTGAATGGCACCAAAATCTGTATCAATAAGGGTCGGCTTAGAACAGAGCTGGCGGTGGTCAAGATATAAGGCAACGACAGCTAGCTGAGGCAATTAATCCACTGACGGATACAATTAACCTTTAAAGTCCAAATAGTTGAATACAACGCTACTTTGTAGAAATGGGTTTGTATGTACGAATTACTGGCTGTATATAAATCACATTATACATAGAGTCACATATCAAGTGCACAATTTAAGGCGGCAATGAACAAACCTATCAAGCACCCGCCAGCGATCTCCAATTTTGGCATCGACATCATCAATTTCCTTTTCAACCTTTTGGAGCATAGCATCTACCTGAAATTTGAACAATCATAACATGTAGTCATTTTCCAGTGGCACATTGCATGCATTAAAGTCCAGGAAGTAGATAGCTAATAAATTGGTAATATTAAGATATGACAAAGCTTTTAGTAACAGAAGATTATCAGAAAATCTTTACCCTGTCTATAAGTGCTGAAGAAACTTTGTCACCAACTTCCTCCTCAGCATCTTGTTCGGGATCCTCTCTGGCAGCTCTGTACGCTTTCTTAGCTTCTTCTTCACCTTCTTTACCCTCTTTCTCGACCATACTGTTATAAAGTCCTATCTGAAAATGGTAATAGAAACAGAAAAGTAAAAAGACATTAACACTCGCTAAAACAAAGTAGTAGTAAATGGAAGTACACAATTTCTCTCCTGATATTCCCAACTACTTGGTGTGTCTATCTAGCATAATGTCAAGAAGCAAGAATAACATCAAAGCTTGTAATAACACACCATGTTTTAAATAAGATCATGAGAAATGACTTTGTTCTAAACGTGGCAATCAACTGAAGCCATATAGTTGCTATTAAGACTTACAATTAACACAAAATGACAGTAGTCTGATGATTATAAAGAGTGTCTTGTGTTTTAGTCTCTCGTGGGAATATGAAGAATTTACTTTAAATAAAGAGATCAAAAGACGAAGAGGTGAATCTGAGATTTAGATAAGGATCAAAAAAGAGGGGCTGTCTTAAATTACCAACACATATGGGTATAAAAACTGAACCCAAAAAAAAAAAAAAGAAGTGGCTGATAAGTAACGGCTCAACAATAGTACTTAAGCTCTAATACAAATAAAAATATAACAAAAATTGAAATTGTAGAGTCACAAGAGATTCAAACAATGCAGCCAAAAGAAAACTTTTGTTAGGTATATGTGGAAAGAAAAGGACAATGAATAAAATGGAGAACCATGGTATCAAAAGAATAGTACCTTTATATACTTTGAAATTCTTATATTTAAGACACCAGTATTGACCTCTTATGTAACATTACCCTCAGTTTTTTGTGAATAATAATTTTAATATTAAACAAAAGAACATGTCATTTACTTGAGAAATTCAAATATCAAATGAATTAGTAACACTTCATAGATATAAATCACTCTTCTGTACCTCCTTGTTAACAAGTCTGAGGAACTCTTCTCGTTCCCGGCTGACCGACTGAAACAAGCATAAGAAAGGGCAAGTCAAGAGTCTGTTTAGATGCGACCATATAGAAAAAATGATGCATTAAAAGCAGTATCATAATTGCTTCCAGTCCTTACTGATGCAGAAGCTAAAACAGCCAATGCACGACTAAGCTCACAAAGCTGCTCATGTTTCTCCAATGTTTTTGCTCTTGCTTGTTCTCGTGCTTCTTTAGCTGTTGGATCAGTCATCTCTTCCAAAGCAACATCCTTTTGACTGCTAACAGATTCCTTCAGCTTGGCCTGCTCCTCTTCCTCTTCTTCTTCCTCCTCCTATAAAGCAATTGAATAACAATGAATTTTTTTTTTTTTTTTTTACAAAAAATGAAGTATAGTACAAGGAAATTCGAAAGGAAACTAAGATATGTGAAAAAAACTTCAAAAACATTAAAGAATATTTTATCAAAAAGATTAAATTAGTTTAACAATTTATAGTCTTCAACTTCTACAATTAGGTTTTTTTGGCTACATAAAGTACGAACCACTAAGATTTTCTACCTAAATCCGGTTAACCAGCCACTATGAGATGAACTCAACTAGGTGGGGTTATTTACTCAGCTATACTTATGTCTCCCAGGCCCATTTTTAATATTATCTTATCGGAGAAAAAATCCCCATCAAAGAGATCCAATGCTTTAGCTAGACTCAAATTTATCTGTTTCATCATAACTCACTTGAATCAACCATAAATTCATCATACCTAAATGCAGCAAATAAAAGAAAGTCTTTACCATGAAAAACTAAAATTAAAGAAACAAAAGTTCTGAAGCCCCAAACAGAGTCCCTTAAACATGCCAGAAACAACTTATCTTTTTGTCTAAGAAACAGTAACAGTAGCTGAAGCATAATATACTTTACCTTGATCAGTTCTTCCTGCATTTCTAGGAACTCCAACTTCCTTCTCCTTTCAGAAACAGAATCTTCAGATGGCAAAGCTGTAACCCCAACAGTATCCACAACCTCATCTGGCAAAGAGGAGAGTGTAGCTTGAACAGCTTCCTCTGGCTTAACTTTTCCAGACACAGAGAAGGCCCTGCACAGATTACAGAAAAAGAAAATTATAAATATGGTCATGTGTATCGGAACAAACAATAATAGGTGAAGCATTAAGTTACCGAGAAAGAATCAAAAGTGAAGATGGTACAGAGTGATTCAGAGACAGATCCAGCCAATCACGCAACTGCAAAGAGAAATACTGAATTAGAAGCCAGGACACATAAAGCTTCTCTTCTGAATTATTCGCAAAGAAAATGAAACAGAACCTGGAAGCAATTGCAATTGCCAGCATTTACTTTTAGCAAACAGGTTACAGAATTCAAAAGTTAGGTTTACCAGCAAAGATATGTCCAATTATACTTCAAAAAATTCTGAAGAGTTGTTATTATAAGCATACTGTATATGCAAATGGAAAAATCATTTGTCTTATGAATGCCAGTTACTAAACAATTTCACGACACATCTTTGTTATTCATCTAGAGAGATAATACATAGTTTGATTTTATCTTTTTGTTTTTTGCAGTAGTGTGTGGATGTTATGAGTAGAAAGCTGATTGACATACTTAGTAGTTTCTGTTTCTTATTAATTAAATCTGTCTTTCTAGTTTCCTATCCAAATAATAATAATGTGAAGACATTTGGTGCAAGGTCACCATTGCACTAAAGGTTAAGTGCTGACTATTATGCAACCACCATTATGGAGGAAACTAAGAAAAATGACTTTTGTACAGAGCTTGTCCTTATTAGAATAAATAAAAGACATACAAGATATATGATTGAGCATTAACCTGTTGCCGCATTTCATCCACTGAAAGTAATCCTAGCAAGCCTCGATCTCTACATGCTTGACGAAGCTCTGCTTCAGAAAGAGACTCCACACCCTCAGCTTGAATCATCTTATCATCATTCTTTATCCTGCGACCAAATAATAAAATTATTTATACAATGCTAGAAGTTACTCAACCCCCCAAGCCCCCGGAACTTTATCTTGACATCTGTTGTGCCAAAGTGATCCAAGATTGCAATATTCTTCAAATCTTCTTGACTAAACAGATTTGATGCAAAAAATTTCATAACCACTTCAAATTATTCACACGTGTCATGGTTAAAATGTGGCATAACAAATAAGATGCTCAACATATTAGAGGAACAAAGAAAGCATGATAAAGGAGATATTGGTCAAAACAAAAAGATAAAAAACGAAAAAGAGTATGCAGAAACAACCAGAATATCTAAAGCAGTACAAAACTCTATCCAATCTCCAAAAGAGGAATTTCCTTGCTTTAAAAGATTATAAAAAGCCTTAAAATACACCAAATCCAAAGATATGCTCTTGCATCATCTGTGGCATATCTTTCCTGATTAATTCATGAACTAGAATGCATCATAGAACCCAAGAAATTACGTTAAAAAGAAAAAGGAGAAAGAAAAAAATATATCCAAGCCTTTTACAAGGGGAACTGACAAAAAACACATAACTAGGCAAACTAGTAGTTTCATATGTCTTACTCTTGTAGTCTCTTCCGAAGCATATAACGTAAATATGCATCTGTTCCATATGGGCTGATACCCATATACTTGCACATATTTACTAACCGAGGCCTGCATTGAACCGAAAAAGAACATTGATCAATGCACAAATTGTTAGGTTACTGAAACAAACTAATAATAAAAAAGATGACCTGGGTAACCCTAAAAAATGGAGTGATTATATAACACCAACCTGCTAATGTTATCCAATGTAAGCTCATCATTGAATAGTTTGGCAAAGCCTAAAATTTCATCATTTGATACACCAGTACCTTTTCTAACCTGTTCAAATGGCAGAATAAAACCTATAATAAATAATTGCTAGCAATGAAACTGTTAAAACATAGACTAAACCCACTTCAGTTCCCTGGTCAGGCAAAGAAAAAAAAATGATTACCTTGTTCATAAACTCATCAAGATCTTCCGCTGTCTTCTTAATATCTCCACTTCGTGAGTTCTGGACTTCTTTTGCCATTTCTTTAACTGTGTCTTGAAGAAACTTTGCATATTCTATTCTTGCATTTAGCCTTCTTTTTAGTGCCTCCTACAAGTTAAGCATTGTAACTGAATCACCATTCTCCTAGATAGAATTTCAGTGCAAAAACTTAAAAGCTATTACATTTGAATAAATGTTTATCTACACGTACTCCTATTTGAATGAGCTTAAGCAAACAAGAATGACAAATGAAAACACATCAGAAATTTTTAGGAGATACAACTGCCAAGAATCTGGACGAATAAGGCCTATGCAACAAAGATAAAGCAATCACGCACTTCTGTGCCAGTCATTCGAACCATTACCTCTTCTTTCATCTTGTCCTGGAAGGTTGATGGCAACATGTTAGGAAATAATTTCAGGAATACTGGTAGCAAGAACTCCATGAAAGGAACTATAATGAAAACTGCAAATGGTACTAGCCTAAAAATATCAGCTGTGGTCCTTGTGAGTTGTTGCCTCTCCCTTCTAGAAAGACCCTTCCCATTAGCAAGTTTTACCAGTAACCTTGAGCTTATCCTCACATCGGCCCAAAGTAATTTTGTACCCAACCAATAGTGTTGCAAAGTAGACTTAATTTCATCCTTCCAGTGGCTGAGTTTCTTAGCCCAGTCTTCCCTGAAATAAAGCATAGAATATAAAACAAGATTCCAAGGGCTTATAACAGCTTAAATGCAAAGTTACTAACCTGCTCATGGAAGCAACAGCTCTCAAAGCAGGACCAATACCAAGTAGCATAGCCCACACTCTTTGCACTATAGATTTAGCACTTTTCTGTGAGTCTAGCATCTGCTTAGCTTTTGCTTTGGCTTTTGCTGTACTCAAACCTTCAACAGCTTGGTCACACTCTTCCGGCGATGCTTCCTTTACCTGTTTAGCAGTCCGCTGTTCATTTCCATCGTTTTCACGCTGACCAGCTGTGGCTGTGGATGAATAACGTACAGATTGTGACATCCATGTGGATCCCAATGGAGAGACAAAATTAACCTTTCCAACCCTATAACCCAAATTTGAAACCGGCAAAGAATTATGTCTAAGAAATTCTCTAGCTAAATATTTTGATATTTCATCCTTGGTTACTGATGATAAACCTCCTTCATGTCCATGATCAGTATCTTCAGGTGAATGACTTGAAATACCAACCCAGCTTGATCGCCGAAAGTCATTAGATGCTATTGATTGACCATTCTCAAAACTAGAAAATCCCCTAATCAACGAAGTACGCCGATTAAGGGAATTGAAGAGGTAACTCTTCCTCCTCAAGATTGCTGTTGAAGACATTATCACAATTTAAAACCTCCGTGCAAAGAAAAAAGTGAACGTATCTCATGCAGCCATCAGATGACCTGACTTCACCCGTCTGTAAACAATGGCATAACCCATCAAATTATCAAAACAACAGTACCATAAAAACTAAAAGTAGTCAAAGGTTAGACAGAACAGATAGAGCACACTCTCCTCATTCACTGCTTCCATTGCTAAGTATCTCCAACATCAGCCAAAAAAGCCAGCAAATAAAATAAAACTACGAAAGGACTAAAATCAAACACTTAAAAGAAAATGAAAATCTAAAATTAATGGGGAGAGTATTTTATTCAATTGACAGGATGAAAACAGATAATCTATCCACCCAATTCTTAAAACTCCTATTAGAGTGAAATTTCTACAACTTTCCTCCATTTTCCCAGCAACCAAACATACTATATAGAGATCACATTAAAATATAAAAAAAAAAATTAAAAAACTAACAACACTCACTCAATACTCAACTGTGATTAACCAAAACCTACACAAACAAATTCGAATGCAACACCAAATAATCTCTCCTATATCCCACCAAACCTTAACTTACACAAACTCCATTTGCCAAAAATACAACGTTAAAGCAAATATCAAGCTTAACAACAATCAAAAACAAATTAATACGAAAAAAAAAAAAAATACACAAATTAAAGAAAGTCATTTGACGAATAAAATTATCAATCTTTAACTTAAAGTTCGATACAGAGAATTAAACCTAATGACACGGAAACAAAAGCTTATTTTGAACATACCGTTGGGAGCTTTGAATGAGAAAAACGGATCACAAAGGGTTTTGGAGAGAGTTTAGACAGAGTTGAGTTGCCGAGTCGAGAGAAAAGAGAGAAAGAAGAGGCTGGACGTGTCTGAGTTTGACAAATGGGACATCCTGCTCCAAAGGTGGGACCTGGTCTAGTTTCGATTGTGCAATCTCAGCCGTCGGATTGCTGGACTTTAGTGAAATTCTTGTAGTTTTATTTTGGGGGAAATTAGCCCGCATGAATCATCACATTTTTTATTTTTCTTTTTATAGATTGGGTAATTCATAAATTAAACTTAAATTATAATAATAAGAAGAAGAAGAAGAAGAAGAAGAAGAATATTAATGATAATAATATAAGGTATTTTTGGATTTTTTTTGTCCAATAATATTTCTTTTAGTTCTGTTGATAAAGGTTTTAAAATCTTAATGTTTTTTCAATAAAACCCCACAAAATAGTGTAGGTTATTAGACTAATCTTTATTTTAGTCAGAATAATTATATAGTACTAACGGTCAATTTCATAGTAATATGAAAAAAAAATCTCAAAATTAATAACGTCAATTTACAAAATAAATTTTATTATTGTACATTAATATAAAATTATAGAATATTATATTAGCATAATGTTATTTATACAATATTTTTATACAACATTTTTGATACAACATGATGTGGTAAAAGATAATTAGCTGATTTTAAATTAAAAATAAACTTTCACCCAATCATATTTTACCACATCATATTATATAAAAAATGTTGTATATGTAATATTACTTATTATATCATAGTGTAGCTTTCTTGGATGTTATATTAACTTGCATTATCATATAATATTAATATTAATATAAAACTAAATTAGGTTATAAAATTATCTTATTGTTTCGTGGAGAGCAAGGTCCACCAGGCACTAAATTAAGATATGGATTAAAGTTTAATTTAATATTTGATTGCCTTAAAAGAGTTGGAATGGGGTTAAAACGAGTCTTTGTTAATTAACTTCTTAATCAACTCCTAATTACGATCCTTTTCTGATCTAAGTTGTTGGAGAATTTCGTCATGTAGAAGAAACCTGTCAATATGAGTTGATAGCTTACATGTCCGAATAAGTTCTGTTTGGTATGATTTGAATGATACTCGATATTAAATTTAAATATTAGAGTGTGTTTGGTTCAAGAAATGTTATACAATATTACTGAGAATGTTATATTACTGGAATAAAAGATTATCTTAAGGTAGCGTTTGGTTCAGGAAATGTTATATTATTGAGGAATGTTGTATTACTGGAAAGATACATTACTAGGGAATCTTTAGAGAAATGTGTTTGGTGGGTTAGAATAAATTGATGGGTATGTTATAACAATATGTTTGGTTGGAAGGATAAATGAGTGGGTATGTTATGTAGATTACTAAATTGCCCTCATTTTAAAATAATAATATAATATTATTTTATTCTATTATTTTTTAAATTATTTCTTTTAACCCCCCTATATTTGAAATTTTACCAAAGCACCCCAACCATATACAACTTTAATTTGTAGCAAAGTCACCCCCACTCACCCCAAACCACCGCCGGCAGCCACCACCACCATCGGAAGCCGTTGTAATGGCATACAACCAGTCGAATCTGGCTGGTCGTACTCCGATCAGGCCTAATCCGGCCAGATCTGGTCGTGAATATGGTCGTTTCACGGCTAGATCTGGCCGTTAATATGGCCATTTCACGACCAAAGATGTGGCCGTGAAACGGCCATAGATCTGGCTGTGAAAAGGCTAGATCTTTGGCCGTGAAACAGTCGCCGTTTCATGGCCAAAGATCTGGCCTTTTCACGGCCAGATCTATGGTGTTTCACAGCCACATCTTTGGCCGTGAAACGGCCAGATCTGGTCGTTTCCGACCATGGATCACAAATCCATGGTCGAAAATGTCCTTATCGGCACATGACCAACAAGATCCTGCCGGTCTTGTGCCGATATGACTACTTTCGTCGGTGGCCAATGGTGGTTGCTAGCGGCCGGCAGTGGTCTTAGATGATTGGGGGTATTTTGTTAACTTTTAAACTTTTTTGTGGCGGGGGTGTTTTAGCTAAGTTCTCAAATGTAGGGGGTCTGGGTAATTGTTATTTGGTAGACATATGAGGGCAAATGTGTCTGGAATGATAAAATATTAAGGGCAAAATAGGGTAAAAATTATGATTATCCTGGTAATCTAACATTAATACCCCCTGGGAAGGTAATTTGATTACCCATAATATTATCAATAGTAACCACTATTTACAATAAAATATTACTGTAATATTATATTACTTGACAACCAAACGAGGGAATCTTGAAAATTAAACAAAGATTATAGGATTTATCTTATTTCACCCCGAACCAAACGCACCCTAAAGATTATTGAAAATGTTTAGGGAAATGTGTTTGGTAGGTTAGAATAAATTAATGGATATATTATATTAATATGTTTGGTTGGGAGGAATAGATTGGTGGATATATTATTTAAATTACTGAATTGTCCTCTAATTAAATATTATTATTATATTATTATTTAGATTATTAATATAACCCCCCTCCATTTAAAAACTCAGCAAAAATAACCCCATAATAAAAGTTTGGAAAATCAACAATGCACCCCCACAAATCAACCACTGTCGGCCATCAATAACCACCGCCAACTGTCAACAATTGGCAATCTAACAGCGCACGAAAGACCGAAAATGGCCTCTGTGCGCTGATATGGCCATTTTCGGCCAGATATCTGGCCGAAAATGGCCATATCGATGCACGGAGGCCATTTTCGACCTTTCGTGCACCGTTTTCGATGGCAACGATGATTGGCCGTTGGTGGCGGTTGCCAGCAACCGACAGTAGCAGGTGGGTGGGGGTGGTGGCTTGGGTGGGCTGTAATTTATTTTGAATTCAAGGGTAATTTTGTTTAAAAAAGATAATTAATTAGGGTAAAATTGTAAAAGCCAGATTCATGTAAATTGATTTTAAAACAAGAGTATTATTGTCCAAAAATTTTATTAATAAGGGATAAAATTGTAACAAAGATAAGGTAACCAAGTAATCTTACAATACCTAAGAAAATGGAAGTTACGAGATTATCTTCAATATTACCGACAGTAACTATTATTAATATTCGAAGACTATCGAAATCATATGTGACTTGACAATCAAACGTGGTAATTAAGTACTATAAAATGACATAACCTCAGTAATCCTATATAACCCCCAGCCAAACGCCCCCTTAATATTAAACTCTTACTTGAAAGCATAGTAAAACAATGACCTTACAAAGTATCAAAGCTTAAGATCTCAAATTCAAATCCCTCACGTCCCTGTTTGTTATGAGAAATTTATTTTTAAGCTAGAGCTTTTTGACCAAGTGGTAATTTAAGGATATTATCAAAAAATAGATTTAAAATTTTAATGAAAAAATTCTGTAAATAAATTGCTTTTTTTTTTTTTTTTTTTTCAAAATTTAGACTTTAAGAACTAGATATACATATATATTACATCGGATCTAAATCATTTTATCATTTTCTGTTAAAGTTAACAGTAGAAAACTGTTAGAACTTAAATGTCCCGTAAGAGAGTTTAATAAATGGGAAAATCATGCTCTTTAAGGGTGCAATTTGGTCTGATTCGATACTAAATCAGTAAATCATATCTTAAGTAATGCTACATGTACAAATAAGTCTTACAAATATTTGTGTACAAACTGATGTAGCATAAAATAAATGGAAGAGTGAATATGAAGAGTTTGACTATTTATATTCACTCTTCCATTCATTTTATGCTATATAAGTTTGTATAAAAAATTTTGTAAGATTTGTTTGTACATCTAGTATTATTGATCATATCTTTGATAGTGCAATCTCAACTGTTCGATTGTTGGACTGTTATTATCTTGTTCTACTTTTATTATGGAGAAATTAGCCCACATAAGTTAAATGACAATTTTTTTTTTAAAGTGGGTTATTTATAAATAACAAAATCTAAATATTTAAAAAAATAATAATAATAAGACGACATTATCTTATCATCGACTCATCGTTCTGACGTGACAAAGAAAATTCAATTAAAATTAATTATGTCAACATGAATATGATATGGTAAAATTGAATCATATATAAATTTTCTCCTAAATATCATTTTAATGTACTTATTTATTGTAATTTAGGGTACATTTGGTTCAGGGAATGTTGGATTACTAGAATCTTATACTACATTGAGGGGGCGTTTGGTTCAAGGAATGTTGGATTACTGAGAATCTTTAGAAAAATGTGTTTGGCTAGTTGGTAGGTATGTTATATTAATATGTTTGGTTAGGGGAAATAAATTGGTGGGTATGTTATTTAAATTACTAAATTGTCTCCTTTTTAAATATTAATATAATATTATTTTTATTATTAATTTTTGAATAATTTTTTTAACCCCCAATATTTCAGATTTAGCTAAAACACCCCCGCTTATATAAAACTTTAATTTATGATGAAATCACCCCCACCCCCTGTCGCCGCCTGCCCCTATTGCAAACCACCGTCGGAAGTCTCTGAAAGTCGCCGTGAGTAACTCATCGTGACCACGAGGTTCTGATATGGTCGTTTCTAGCCATATTGATGGCCGAAAATGACCATATCAGACCAGATCTGGCCGTTAATGGCCAGGGATAATAGCAAGATCTGGCCTAATATGGTCGTTTTCAGTCATCAATATGGCCGGAAACGGACATATCAAAGCCTCCCGGAGCCTCCCACCGAATCTTTGTCTTTTTTAGGGACTCTGGCAACTTTTCGGCGGCGATTCGTGGTGGTTGGCCCGCTGTCGACGGTGGTGGCTGGGTGGCAGTGGTGGTCTGTAATTTGTTTTAAATATAAGGGCATTATTGTCCAAAAATTTAATTAAACAAGGGTAAAATTGAAATGGTATATTAATGTAAATTTATTTTAAAATAGGGGCATTATTGTCCAAAAATTTTATTAATAAGAGATAGAATTGTAGCAAAAATAAAATTACTTTGGTAATCTTACAATACCTAAGAAAATAGAGGTAATCAGATAACCTCAAATATTACCAACAGTAACAACTATTGGTAATACAAGATTACCGGAATCTTATATTA